AAGATGTGGCAGAGGAGTGAGTTTTGGTGGTACCTTGGGGGGATAAGGTGCTGACCCATAAGCTTAAAGGACCACAAAATTTCTGGACAATTCTCATGTCCCAGCATTAGCTACTGACCCAGAATGGGAGAGTGACCTCCAATGAGGTGATACATGAAAATGTTTTGGAAATTGTCCAGGGCTTTGTAAGTACAAGGCATATTTTGAAGTCAGAAAAGCATAGTGGGGTCTATGGCCATACCACCCTGCAGGTGCCAGTTGTGGCTGGTTAGTACTTGGATGAGGAGAGAATGGGAATGAGAGCTGGTGCTTGCCATTTACTTGCTGGATGTTGTCGAGTAAGTCATTGAATCTCAATTTTCTCATTGGTAGAAATGCATTGGTTCTCCTGCAAATTGGTTAAGACTTTTTATTAGCAGTGTTAGAAATGTGACTCACTCTCGCTTTAAAAGAGAACATATAAAAGGGAATTTCATAAGTTCACGTTACTGCAGAGTGTGGGGCTTCTGACACTATTGGATTCAGGCACTCAAACCTGTTTCTTCCAATTTCCTTAATTCAAAATAGGTTTGCGCCACGGGGTGCCCAGCAACTTGCAGAAGCTGAGGGCAGGCTTAATCCTACTGCTTTAAAACAGCACCAGAAGTACCTCTTTTGGTGAACAGCGTAGTGAACAGAGTGGTTACCTGCCCCTTCCAAGTCTGAGTTATTAGGATGGACAGGGCTCTGATGCGCCAGAAATAGGCCAAGTGCCCACCCTTAGAGCCTGTGGTTGGGGTTGCCCCCACTCTGGTGGTTCCCAACAGAATATTGGGAGTCTGCTCTCTTAATCCAGAAGTATTGCAAAAGAATGTCGGGCACCAAAAAAACCCAACAGGGGTCCACTAGTTCAGCTTGCCACATGCTTATGAAAGTTTAATGAGCAAATACTTGCGAAAGTGCCTTGAAAACTGTCCAGCAGCATATTCCATTTTTGAGAAGTTTCACATATATCAAATAAGACTGTCAATTACAGGGGTCTGTACTGGGTCAAACTGAAGTTGGTTTTCCTCTTTCTGTAGTAACTGATTATTTTTTATCAGAAAAGACTGTAGGGGCCGATCCTTTCATAGTTCATAAACATGATGGCTGGGTGTTCACGTGCGTGTGTGAAGCATGCCATCCTCCAGCCTTGTTATGACCTCGGCACATTACCCATCTGACAAGAGAAAAAAAAAAAAGACTGTAGGGTAGATTAAAACGATTACTCCAAAGGAAGTGGTAAAGTGGATTTTGGCCATGTTCCAGGCAAGAATGAGGCAGTGTTTCTGCCCATGGGGTCCTGGGGATGGACATGGAACCGGTTTGGCCATGCCCAGGGAGAGCAGCAGAAGCCCACTGATTGATTTGTTTTTCATTAATTAATTCATCAAGTAAGCCATTACTATGGTTGGGTCTGGAGAGAGCATGGTTGACGCCACCTGAGTGAATGGGAGGAAGCAGTGTTAGGGATGGGTGGTGCACGCTGTCCTCTGGCCTTCCTCTCTTGCCCCTTTTGGGTGGGTATCTTTGGATTTGTTTTCCTCCTGTCCCGAGGCCGTGGGATGCTGTCCTTCCTCCCCAAGTCTAAGCCTGGCTTGCCCTCTGGTAGGTTTGACAGCAATGCCTCTGCCAGCTCTTCCAGTAATGAGGGTGACAGTGACCGGGATGAGAAGAAGCGGAAACAGCTCAAAAAGGCCAAGATGGCCAAGGACCGCAAGAGCCGAAAGAAGCCTGTGGAGGTGCAGACTGTAGATGGGAGGGGTCGTGTGTGGTGTGCAGGGGTGGGAGGCATTCGCTTTACCTTTTCCTGTCCACCACCAGTAGGAACCTGTTCATTGGTCTTCCTTGGGGCTGTTTTTTGTAGCCAGTGATTATAACCTTGAGGGGTACTTTCTTGGAAATTTTTCTCACTAGCCCTGAGATTATTAAGCTTCTAGAAGATTTGAATTAGGAGATGGGCTTCTGTCCCAGGAGCCCAGAGGAAAGGGGGCCCCTGGTAAGCTAAGCACTGAGCTGCAGAGAGGAAGGGGATGCTATCCTTGCCATTAACAAGCTCTCATCTAGCCTGATGCTATTTAGTCCTCTACTTTTTCTCCAGGTTAGGTGATCTAAATAACTTCTTTGGGAAAATGTAGGGTTCTATGGGAAATTGCTGAAGGCATTTGGGTTCTTATGTAGGTGAAGAAGGGCAAAGACCCCAATGCCCCCAAGAGGCCCATGTCTGCCTACATGCTGTGGCTCAATGCCAGCCGAGAGAAGATCAAGTCAGACCATCCTGGCATCAGTATCACGGATCTTTCCAAGAAGGCTGGCGAGATCTGGAAGGGAATGTCCAAAGAGAAGAAAGAGGTGAGTGGCAGCAGAGGAAGGATGATGCATCTCATGGGCTGGCAAGGGGTGCTGTCTTGGGGTGGTGAGTCTCAGGACTGATGGGGAGCAGTAGGAGCCATTGGCGGGACTTTGTGTATTGATTTTGCCTGTATCAGGGGAGAGGGGAGAGGTCTTATTCTTTGCTATATTTTTCTGTGTTTGTGAGACAGGAGTGGGATCGCAAGGCTGAGGATGCCAGGAGGGAATATGAAAAAGCCATGAAGGAATATGAAGGTGGCCGAGGCGAGTCTTCTAAGAGGTGAGTATCAAGAACATGGACCAGTAACTTGATTTTTGTGGCAGATTTTTTTTTTTTTTACAGGCTGATTTAGGTAGTGCTTCTCAAACCTGGGTAGGCCATTGCCCAAGTATTGGGTATTACGATAGGACATTCAGGTCATTAGGGAAATATGGCCCATTTTCCTGGACCATTTTATTTGAAGGTATGGGGGAATGAAAAAAAAAATACTATGATGGAGTGCAATACACAATTCACATGAAATTTAAAAAGTAAAGCAAGAAATGTCAAGTAGGCTTTGCATATGGGGCTGCTTTAGGCTATGCCCTCTAATCCTTCTGGTGTGCTCATGATATTCTCCCTTGGTGCCCTTCAGACTGACACGGCTATTTATGTTCAGAGTGAAATGGGTGGTGTGGCTGGGATCGGGAAAGGCCTTGTTGAAGCTGGGAGAGGTCTGGCCATGCTGAGAGTGAGGGGATCCGAAGGCCCAGCTCCTCTTCCCTCTTGCCAAAACAGGGACAAGTCAAAGAAGAAGAAGAAAGTAAAGGTAAAGATGGAAAAGAAGTCCACACCTTCTAGGGGCTCATCATCCAAGTCGGCCTCAAGGCAGCTAAGCGAGAGCTTCAAAAGCAAAGAGTTTGTGTCTAGTGATGAGAGCTCTTCTGGAGAGAACAAGAGCAAAAAGAAGAGGAGGCGGAGCGAGGTGCGGCAGGAACGTGGGGACTCTGGGCTGGGCAGTGCGAGGGGTAATGAGTCGGAGTGGATGGTGGAATTCCGAGGTTGTGAGGGTGGGTGCTGCAGCTGGGGGGCGGTAGGGAATTGTGGGCCCTTCACTGAAGAGTGGCTGGGACCCCCACCTTTTCCCTTAAGACAACTTTGGTTTTCAGGACTCTGAAGAAGAAGAACTAGCCAGTACTCCCCCTAGCTCAGAAGACTCAGCGTCAGGATCCGATGAGTAGAAACGGAGGAAGGTTCTCCTCTTTGCGCTTGCCTTCTCACAACCCCCGACTCCCCACCCATATTTTGGTACCAGTTTCTCCTCATGAAATGTAGTCCCTGGATTCTGTGCCATCTGAACACGCTCTCCTGCTGGTGTGTATGTCACTAGGGCAGTGGGGAGATGTCTTAACTCTGCTGCTTCCCAAGGATGGCCGTTTATTATTTGGGGAGAGATAGGGTGGGAGGCAGGGCAATGCAGGATCCAAATCCTCATCTTACTTTCCCGACCTTAACGATGTAGCTGCTGCTTGTCCTGTTCAAGTTGCTGCAGCAGAGGTCATGTGAGGCCAGGCCTGTAGCTCCTACCGGGGGCCTATTTCTACTTTTATTTTGTATTTCTGGTCTGTGAAAATCATTTAATAAAGGGAACTGACTTTGGAAACAATGTCCTTCTGCTTTCTTCGTAGCCCTGGTGCATTGCTCCCACTTTTATTGGTGGTGGATACTGCTCTGCCCACATTGGGCAGAGGCTTCCTGGCCAGCCAGGAAGTAAGTCTCCAGGTACATCATGGTCTGTTCCCGGCTGGACAAACATTGGTTTTCACCCTCTTCTGCCGGGATGGGCCACCTGAGAGTCTAGAAATGAGAGCTGATCCGATTAGGAAGTCTCCCAGTTACACTCCATTAGCCAAGCTAGGGGGAGGCAGCTCTTGGCTGCATCCTTATCTATGAGTCAAGCAAGGGTCTTCCAAGGCTTTAGATAATGAAATCAGGATTGACTGCCTTCCCGCAGCCGGAGGAGTGGAAACCTGAGCCTGAGGCGTTGGGGAGGATGAGCGTGTGTTTTGGGTGGTGGTGGCTGCAGCCTGGCGGGGGTGCAGAAAGGTGGGGAGTATACGGGAAGCTTTTGTTCTTATGGGAAGAAGGGGGTTACAGTGTAGGAAGAAACTCATGTCTGAGAAAGGGCCTAAAAGGAGATAAAGGTCACTAACGAGGAAAGTAAAACTGCCAGACTCCCTCACGGTGGCTCTAAATCTGAATAGACACACGAGGGGTAGCCACGTTGCGCGCGTTCTCAGGACTCAAGGCTGTACCAGGAAGCGGCTCCAGTCCGCCGGCGGCTACCTTCTTGCCACTTAGCTCGATGGTGCCGCGCTCCGTGCAGGCGGCGGGACCCGGGAGGGGCCGCCAAGGCAGTCACTCTAGGCAGTCGTCTCAGTGGCCATTTCAGCCGAGCGCTCCCGGCTGAATTGCGTCAGTTTCGCCCCGGTCTGAGCCTGGGGCGGGCCCCTTATCTGCAAGCCTCATGAATAATTGAGTACTGGGCCGCGCCTGGTTGCCGAAGGTGGGAAGAATTCTGCACGGGCTTCCTACTCCCGGGTTCCGCCGGCTCATGCATATTCATGAGGCGCCCTGGGGGCGTGGTCATGGGCGGGGCTAGGGGCGGGGCCCCGCCGGGGCTCGCAGTGGCTTCGTCCCGCGGTGACGGCGGCGGCGGCGGCGGCGGTGGCGGTAGCGGCGGTGTCAGAGGCGGTGTCGGAGACTGGCATCGGGGCGCCTAGCCGAGCGGAGACGGATCCCGGGCGAACGCGTGAGTGCGCGGGGGCGGGCGGGCGAAGGAGGGGGCGGGGTCCAGGATGGGGCGGGGGAGGGGCATGGAAGGAGTGGGCGCTTTCCAGCCGGGACCTCGGATTGAGGTGGTGGTGGTGGGGGGGTCTCCAGGAAAGTTTGCAGGGGTCGGGGGTGCTGGGGACGCTGGAGGCCTTGGGGAAGCTGGCGCGTGTGCGCGGGGGTGGAGGGCGCATGGTCTGGAGCTCGTGCTGGCTGAGCCAGAAGAAAGGGGGGAGGGGGCGAGGGCTTGGGGCGGGGCCGGGGGCGGGCAGAGCCGCTGGAGGGACCCCTGCCCCCCCTTTCCCCGGGCCGCGCTAGCCCCCTCCTCCGGCTCCTTCGGCACGCCCCCAGCCACCCCAGTCCGCCCCCACCTGATAAACGTCCACAGCCCACCGTCTGTTCGCCGGCTGCTTCACAACCCGCGCACTGGTCCTCCGCTTCTGCCGACACCGCCGCCCCCCCGCATCCTCTTCCCTTCGGCTGCCGCCGTCCCTTCTGTGTCCAGCGCTCCCCACTGGGCCCCTCCAGACAGCCCATTGCCCGGGGCTGTTCCATCTTCCCGTTGGCCCTCCCTCTTCCAGCAGTTTACGTGCTGTCCCTGCCGACCTCTCTAGCCTCGGATCCGGCTGGAGATCCTGAGGTCCATAGGGGCGACCCCACATGCGCCGAGTCCCCTCAGGGGCTGGAGCTGCCCAGACCTTCTGGAGGCCTTTGCTGCCAGGGGTCAGCTCGTCTTTACCCCGCTCCCTTCTACCCCCTGCTCTCTTGGGGGTGGGGAGTGCTCAGAGCCGCTGTGATTTTGCAGCTTCTGGCCACAGCCTTGGTGGCCTTGGTCACCAGGGGCTCCTGGCTGGGTCCTCTGAGTTGCTGTGGCCACCTCCGCACCTGAGGACTTCATTGCTGGAGCCCCTTATATCACAGAGGGCCCCATCAGAACCCCAGGTGAAAGGATTGTTTTGGTTCTGAGCCAATTGATTTCGACTTCCAACCACCCACACTGTGTCCCTAGTAATAATGTTCAAGGACAAGGAAACAATCTTTAATTTTATTTTTTCTCTCATCTGCCCCTTCCCCCACCACACTTGGCCTGGCTCTGCACAGTTATTCACCCACTCACAGTGGGCAGTCCTCCGTGGTTGACTGACCAGTGGGTTGGCAGTACGGGTTTCTCTACCTTCTTCCTACCCTCTCCCATCTTTGAAACACCTGGGGCAGGGTCCACGTTACGGGAGGGGAGTTGGATTTTGCAGAGATTGAGCACTGGGGAGGTCCCTTTTAAGGGTTTGGTGCTGTCTTCCCAGACCAGCTGGAGTGGTTGCCTTTAAGTGAGGGCAGTGTCCCTTGCAGCTTGGAGAGGGTTGGGTTGTCCTCGGGGATCTGCATAATCCCCCTTTGCATGAGAGGTGCACAGCCTATACCCCAGGTTCTCTATGATTTTGTGGCTGGGAGGGTGCTTCAGGAGCCAGGATGGGACTTGAGGAGGTGGTGGAGTATCTGAAGAACAGGTGGCAGGACTGGGGCCTGGGGAAGTGAAGGAATGGTCTGGGAATGCTGGTATCCTGGGGTCAGATAGGAGGAGGAGGTGGTTATCAGGGATGTTAGCTCATTGGTGACACTGATTGGAGTCCCAGTTATAATGGCCAACATTGATTGAACCCTCGTTATGGGCTAGGCATTGTGCTAAGCAGTTTTTATGTACTATCTCACTTAAGCCTCCTCAGGGTCTCAATAATCCCATTTTTCAGGTAGAGAAACTGAGGCGTAGAGAAGTCACATGGCTAGAAAGTGGTAGACTTCCCCAGCATTGAATCTTGGTATATCAGACCCTGAAGCTCAAGTGACAGGCTTAGAGGAGGGGTACCCATTTGGCTTGTACCCCAGGGCCATGCCACTTGGTTTAATTTCTTCTGTCCCCCTCAAAACTCCTTCAGACCACCCCTAGGCTGGTGAGTGAAGCCCACATAACCCCTATTTATAGGCTGTGGCTGTTCCACCTTGACTGTCTCGGAAGGTGGAACCCCAGGGAATTTTCCCCCAGGTCACTCCACCCCCCGGATGTTCTCAAGCCCCATCCCGTTCTCCCAGCCCAGGCCTGGGCCGGCTCCTCCTTCCTCTTGGCGAGGCTCTGGAAATCCAGTGGGAGGCCATTGCTATGGCAACAGGACTAGGCCCTGGCTTTACCTCATCAAATTCCAAGCTGAAGCCAAGCGATTGAGAAATTAAAGAAAAAAATATATTCCAGATGTTTACTTTTTATTTCTTATTTTTCCGTGTTTGGATGAGATAGCTCTGAGGGAGGGGAGAGTGGGGCAGGGATGTGGAAGGAGAACCGGGAGAGACGGGGGAGAAGGAACCACTCCCAGCTGCAGGCAGGAGGGAGAGAGGGAAGGAGGGTGAGCGGGAAGGGGGAGGCAGGCGCTGGGGCGGGCCCCAGGTTGGGGAGGAGCAGGTTTTTCCCGTCTCCCGTGAGGTGATTCACAGAGAGACTTCATACTTTGCAGCTCTCTAGCTCTGCCTTGAGTAGACACCTCCAGCGGGGCCGCCCTACCCAAGGGACACTCTGGGGACTGTAAGTGGGGTGTCTTGGAGAGTTTGTCAGAGGAGGGAGCAGTGAGTGACTCCCTGAAACTCCAGGACTTTGGGGTTAGGAGATAAGAACTGGAGAGGATCTGGGAAGAGTTGAGGGTTTGGCTGCTGGGAACGTCCCTGGACCTCCTCCTACCCCCAGCCCCCACTCCCAAGTTCCCTCTTCCTGTCCCACACTCTGCCTCTGCTAGAAATAGGAGACTTCCCAATGCTAAACCTACTAGCAACTCCCAACTCTTTTTTTCCTTCTCTTCTCTCTTCCTAGGTCTCCAGCCACCCCGGCTCATGCCTCTCTGCCTCCTAACTCTCAAGCAGAGTGTCTGCCGCATGTGATGAAAGTGTCTACTCTCAGGGAAAGCTCAGCCATGGCTTCCCCACTGCCCCGGGAGATGGAGGAGGAGCTGGTGCCTGCTGGCTCTGAGCCAGGTACCAATGGGTGCAGGGTGGAGCCGGGTGGCTGGGAGGGGTGTGAAGGGCAGAGACTGCACCAGCTTTCTGTCTTAGGCGGGTGGTTCAGTGATGATTCTGTTGAGATGGGAGGGAAGGAGTAGCAAGGCAGTACGGGATGAGTTTGAAAGGTTCTCAGCTTCTCTTGAGACTCTTCAGAACTGTTTGGGATCATAAATCTCCAGCAGGTGTAAAAGCAGACAGGGACCTTCGAGATGATGTGGAGCAAGCTATGCTTTGCAGAGGGGGAAACTGAGGCACACAGGGGGAAATGGAGTGCACAAGTGGGAGTTTGAACCCAGATCTCTGGGCTTCTTGTGTAGACTCTTCTATTTAGCCGAATGTTTAGGGGGTACGAGATTCTGTCGGGAGGATCATGGATGTAGGTACTTCCAAGCTCTTTTATTTGGCATTGGAATGCTTTACACAGAAGGTAGGTTTCGGGTCCTGGTTTTTTTTCCTTCCCATAGCAGATTTACTTTTGTTTGACTTAGGTCAATAGTAAATTTGCATTCCCAGTCACACACCGGATGACAATGGGGAGGCGGCCTGTGGCTGGGGGAGGAGGCAACCTGGAGGCAGGGTAGAGAAGCTCAGCTAAGGTGGAAAGTTGACTACGGATGATAGAGAAGTGTCACGGTGTCACGGATGATAGAGAAGTGTCATGTAAGGTGGAAAAACTAGATTGGGACTATGGAGAGCTGACGGCGATGTGGGCAGGCATGCATTTGTTTATTGGCCTCATTTGCTCATTCATTCTTTCAATTGTTTGATTATGACTTAGGCTAGCTACAAAATACAGTACAGGAAGAAATCAGGTGCCAGGTGGGTCCTTAAATAGCTTTAGTTTAAAAGGGGAATTGGCTAAAACATTTTGGGGGTTTGAATAAGGGAGAAGATGCTTCTGGGATGTGTGTAGAAAATCAAGGAAGGCTTCCTGGAAGAGGTGGCATATGACTTGTGCCTGGAAAGGTGTGAATATTCTTAAATTGGAGGGCGGGAGATGAGGTGGAACAGGAAACAAAGAAGCTCTTCCTGGTTCTTCTGACAGCTCCCCACCAACCCTTTCCTTTTGGTAGGTGACACTCGGGCCAAACCCCCTGTCAAGCCCAAACCCCGGGCCCTGCCTGCCAAGCCAGCCCTGCCTGCCAAACCCAGCCTGCTGGTGCCTGTTGGGCCTCGGCCTCCCCGGGGTCCCCTGGCCGAGTTGCCCTCTGCCAGAAAGATGAACATGCTGGCAGGACCCCAGCCCTATGGTGGTAGCAAGCGCCCCCTGCCCTTTGCACCAAGGCCTGCGGTCGAGGCCTCCACTGGAGGAGAAGCCACCCAAGATACTGGGAAAGAGGAGTCTGGGAAAGAGGAGCCACCCCCTTTGACACCCCCAGCCCGATGTGCTGCCGCAGGGGGCGTTCGGAAGGCCCCTGCCCCTTTCCGCCCAGCCTCAGAACGCTTTGCGGCCACCACGGTGGAAGAGATCCTGGCCAAGATGGAGCAGCCTCGGAAGGAGGTCCCAGCCAGCCCTGACCGCCTGTGGGGCTCCCGTCTCACCTTTAACCATGATGGCAGCTCGCGGTATGGCCCCAGGACCTATGGCACAACCACTGCTCCCAGGGATGAGGATGGCAGCACCCTCTCGAGGGGATGGTCCCAGGAGGGGCCAGTAAAGTCTCCAGCAGAGTGCCAGGAAGAGCACAGCAAGACCCCTGAGGAGAGGTGAAGGGTGGGAGGTTGTATGTTTTGTGACGGCCTGGAGGTCAGGTGGGGTGGGATAGGGTGGGCGCTGGGGACCAAGTGCGTGGCCCCATAAAAGGTTGTGACTTTTACCTGTAGGTTAGTTGTGTGCTGTGAGTACAGGCAGATCCCAATCTAAGTCACAAATCATTCCCCAGTAGATGGTGTTACCGTTACTGTATGCTTTTTAAGTTGTAGTTTTCTTTACAGAGTCGATACTGGTTTATAGAGAGTTCAAATGTACAGTATAGAAGTTTAATAGACAATATGCTTTTTTTTTTTTTTTTTGAGATGAGGTTTTGCTCTTGTCGCCCAGGCTGGAGTGCAGTGGTGTGATCTCGGCTCACTGCACCTTCTGCCTCCCAGGTTCAAGCAGTTCTCCTGCCTCAGCCTTCCAAGTAGCTGGGATCACAGGCATATGCTACCACACCCAGCTAATAATTTTTTGTATGTGTGACAGAGTCTCGCTCTGTCGCCAGGCTGGAGTGCAGTGGCATGATCTCAGCTCACTGCAACCTCCACCTCCTGGGTTCATGTGATTCCCCTGCCTCAGCCTCCCAAGTAGCTGGGACTACAGGTGCATACCACCGTGCCTGGCTAATTTTTTGGATTTTAGTGGAGATGGGGTTTCACCATGTTGGCCAGGATGGTCTCAATCTCCTAATCTTGTGATCTGCCTGCCTCGGCCTCCCAAACTGCTGGGATTACGGGCATGACCTACCATGCCCGGCCAATTTTTAGTACTTTTAATAGAGATGGGGTTTCACCCTGTTGGCCAGGCTGGTCTTGAACTCCTGACCTCAGGTGACCCGCCTGCCTCAGCCTCCCAGAGTGCTGGGATTACAGGTGTGAGCCACTACGCCTGGCCAGGAAGTTTATTTTTAGTTTCTATATACTGAGAGCTGGGCACCACACTTTGCCTCATTGGCGTTCTGGTTGTTTGAGGGAGTATCAGGTCCATTGTAGAAATGAGGAAACTGAGGCTCAAAAGTGACTTCCATAGTCTCAGCAAGTTAAGGGGCAGAGACTGACATCTGTTTGATTCCAAAGCCTGTGCTCTTAACTGCTAGCCCTTACAGTGTGTAGAGCAGTGTGCCAGTCCTGGGGTGGGGCTGCGTGTGTCAGGATGAGTAGGGCACAGTCTCTGCCTGTGAGGTGGAATCTGATGGGAGAGATAAGCCAGGAACACATCTTGATGCCAGGCCAGCTAGTGTCTGCACAGAGATTTTGACTGGTTGGAGACATTTGCATATGATACGCTTCTCCAGAGTGACCACTGGTGTAAAGCAAGGCTGGCCAGGAGGTGCTTCTTGGGGTGGTGGGCATGGGACTTGGGAGGAAGAGCTAAGGCATCTCAGAAGCCATCAGCTGCACAGAGACTGTCCTGAGCGCTGGGAGAGCTAGCTTGAGGCATGGCTGGCTTCCTGGGCCTTTGCTCTGCTGGGCTCAGAGGCTCCCTTTCTCCTCCTCCTGCTATGAAGGGAAGGGCTGCTGTGGTCTGGGCTAAGCCGGATGCTGAGGGGCCCTGCCCTGCCCTGCCCTGCCCTCTGGCCTTGCCCTTCTCTCACCTGACAGTGTCCGGAGCCTTGGCCCTGGAGCTAGTTCCTTTGCCTGTCCCAGATCAGGGTGCTGTGAGGTCACACTCTTACCCAGGCTGGGTTCCACTTGCCATCTTCCTTCCCTCCGTCACTCCAAGCAGGGCTTTCCAACCCTGGAAAATCACTCTTTCCTCTTCCCCTCACCCCCCTGCAATTCTTCAAGAAGTATTGGCAGGGCAGCGGGACCAGCTGCACTCTTCCTGGCTAGAGGAGAACTTTAACTCCTTATGGGTTAAGGGAAAGAGGAGTTATTTTTTTAGGAACAGTTGAGAGGTCTGGGGATACAGGATGCTTTTCCAAAAGGCGTTGGGGAATTTAACCCTTCATGCTCAGGTAGGGAATAGGCACTGCCTTCTGGTGCACTTGCTGTATGGAAAGTGGACAGATTCTGTGTCTGTAATGGTTCTAGGCAGGGCTCAAGAGTAAATGGCTAGGAGCATTTCACCTTTGGGTGCTGCTGAAGTTGCATTGGGAGACTCTCTCACCTTCTCCATTCCATGAAAGATTCCAACATTCTGTGTCTCTATTTCCTGTCCTTGTCCCTCACAGGAGCCCCCCTTCCGACCTGGCCTTCAATGGGGACCTGGCTAAGGCAGCCAGCTCGGAGCTACCTGCTGATGTGAGTTATCCTCCGGTTATGAATCCAAATTATGTATCGTATTTTAGGGCTGGAAGGGTCATCTGAGATCGTCTTTTCTACTCCTTGTAGTGCAGATGGGGAAACTGAGGCCCATGGAGAGAGTGTCTCACCAGAGGGCTGGCCCTGGGATTTTTCAACTCCCAGGCCAGTGCTCTTGATCACCAAAGTGGCTAAGTGTGGGTCAGGCCATGAGGCCATTCATTATAAACAGTAATGATAATATCTGCAGCAAGTGCCACTGCTTAAGTCCCTGCTATGTACTGGGTCTGTCTGTCCCAGGAGTGTTAACTGAGTCAATCCTTGTGATAACTCTGCCTAGCAGACCCCTTGTTAGTCCCATGTGAGAGAGGAGAGCGCCTGTGCCTCACAAAGGGTAAGTAACTTAGGCTGAGGCAGGAGCTGCTGTGTCTGCCCCTTCCCTCTCCGTGCTTTCCCTGGCTGGGCTGCCTTTTCTGGGTTCAGAAGAGGGGTGAGTCCTTTTGCTGAGAGTTTTCCATTATACTCCCATTCTCGAAGATGCTCAGGCTGCTTTCTTGAGCAAATGAGGCACAGGATGGCCCTTTTTGCTCATACAGCCCTTGCTAGCTAGAGACTGTCCCAGCTGCCCTGTGATGGAGTCCTGACGTGAATCATTTGTCCATCCAGCAAGCAGTGAGTGAGGGCCTGTTAGGAGCTGGGTGCTGGGGATGACTGAAGGCAGAGAGTGCGGGACAAGTGTAGTCGGGGAGGAGGTACTGCGAAGGGCAGACGCTGAGCTGGGTGCATGTCTGGGAGCAGCGTTCTCTTTTTTTGAGATGAAGTCTCACTCTGTCACCCAGGATGGAGTATGGTGGCGCAATCTCAGCTCATTTCAACCCCCACTTCACAGGTTCAAGCGATTCTCCTGCCTCAGCCTCCTGAGTAGCTGGGACTACAGGCGCCCACCACCACACCCAGCTAATTTTTTTTTTTTTGTAGTTTTAGTAGACACAGGGTTTTACCATATTGGCCTGGCTAGTCTTGAACCCCTGACCTTGTGATCCATCTGCCTTGGCCTCTCAAAGTGCTGGGATTACAGGCGTGAGCCACTGCGCCCAGCTGGGGAGCAGCATTCTTGGTAGAGGGCACAGCAAGTACGAAGGCCTTGGTGCTTTCCTGGCAAGGAGGCCAGGATGTCTGCCTCGAAGTGAGAGAGGAGCTGGGTAGTAGTGAGGACCGATGGGTGGTGGAGTGGATTGTGCCAAGTCTCGAAGGCCGCTATAAAGACTTTGGCTTGGGTGAGAGGAACAGGCCATTTGAAGGTTTTGCAGGAGAGGCATAGTATGCTGCTGTCTTAGTTGTAAAGAGTCGCCTGGCCCGTTGGATTATACCGGGCGCGGAGGCTCGCACCTGTAATCCCAGCACTTTGGGAGGCCGAGGTGGGTGGATCACGAGGTCAAGAGATCAAGACCATCCTGGTCAACATGGTGAAACCCCGTCTCTACTAAAAATACAAAAATTAGCTGGGCATGGTGGCACGTGCCTGTAATCCCAGCTACCCAGGAGGCTGAGGCAGGAGAATTGCCTCAGCCCAGGAGGCGGAGGTTGCGGTGAGCTGAGATCGAGCCATTGCACTTCAGCCTGGGTAACAAGAGCGAAACTGTCTCAAAAAAAAAAAAAAAAAAAAAAAGAATCAGTTGCAGGGAGGTGCTATTGTTGAAATAGTCTAAGTGAGAGATGATGACAGCTTGGACCCTGGAGGTGGCCTCTGTTGGAGATGGGGAGAAGTGGTTGGTTCTGGATAGAATTTGAAGGCATGGCGGAAAGGACTTTCAGACATTGAGGGAGGAGAGAGAGAGAGAGAGAGAGAGAGGGAGGGAGGGAGGGAGGGAGGGAGAGAGAGAGAGAGAGAGAGAGAGAGAGAGAGAGAGAATGAATGAGAATGAGAATGAGAGAAAGCACAGAATCAAGGGTGACTCCAAGGCTTTTGGCCTGAGCAACCAAAAGGATGAGTTTATGGTTACTGAGATGGGGACTTGTAAGGGTGAAGCAGGATCGGGGGAGATGGGAGGAGTTTGCTTGTGGATTTGTTGAATTCGAGATGGCTTTCAGATACCCCTGTGGAATCATCAAGCGGGTGGTTGGGTAGTCGAGTCTGCCCTTCAAGGGAAGTGAGCCAATTGGAGAGGAACACTTGGGAACTGTCAGAGTAGGGATGTGTGTTAAGACTGGCTGAGATTACCAGGAGTGGGGAGGGTGCAGGAGGGAGGGCCCTGAGGCAGAGCCAAGGAGCCTGGGAGGATAGTGAGGGAGTCCACCAAGTGGAGACAGCCTCCAGGACTGGAGGAGGGTGCCATCAGCTGTCAGATGCCGTTGACAGGTCAAGGAAGGTGAGCACGGAGAATTGGATTCAGCTCCAGGGAGGTCATCTTTGACCTTGACTAGAGTAGTTAGGTGGCAGGGTAACGGAGAGAGCCAGTTTGGAGTGGGTTCAGGAGAGAAGGGTTCAGGTATTCAAGTGAATGTAGACAGGGCTTTCAAGAAAATGGGTGGGAGCTAGTGAGAGGTGTCGGGTCAAGAGTGGTTTTTTGAAGACAGAAGAAATTAGAGCAGTTTGTGTGCTGATGGAAATGATCCAGTAGAGAGAGAAAAAAAATCAATGATGCAGGAGAGAGAGAAGGGATTGGACTGAGCCCTGAGCGAGGACAGTGCCTGATAGCCGAAGGGGAGGCAGAGTGCTTGTGCTTCCATGCAGGAAGTGGGCGGTGTGCCGGTGTGATGCGGGTTGTCGGGTGGGAAAGGGTTCTCTGCTGATGGCCTCTGTGTTCCCAGAGAACAGGAAGCAAGGCCATCAGCTGAGAGAGGATTGGGGGAGGTGCCGGAGGTTTGATGGGAGAAGATGCTAAACCGTTGCCTGGGAGAGTCCTGCAGTGAATAGGAGGGGGGGTGCCCGGGGATTCTGGGCAGCTCTAGGGCCGGCTCGAGGTCAGTGTTGAATCTGAAGGGAGACCAGCCTTCATGGTTGTGTGTTTTTCTCCAGCCACATGTAGCTGCTCAGGTGTGGGGCTAGGACTGGCCCAGATGTCTTGGAGAGCTGTGTTTAAAACAGGTTAGACAGTGTGATGAAGCAGATGGGGGAGTGGAGCGTTGGGTAAAAAGTGACTTTAGCTAGGCGCGGTGGCTCACGCCTGTAATCCCAGCACTTTGGGAGGCTGAGGCAGGTGGGTCACGAGGTCAGGAGTTCGAGACCAGCCTGACTACATGGTGAAACCCTGTCTCTACTAAAAATACAAAAATTAGTCAGGTGTGGTGGTGTGCACCTGTTGTCCCAGATACTCAGGAGGCTGAGGCAGGAGAACTGCTTGAACCCAAGAGGCGGAGGTTGCAGTGAGCCGAGATCATGCCACTGCACTCCAGCCTGGGTGACAGAGTGAGACTCTGTCTCAAAAAAAAATAAGTGACTTTAATGACGATAAGAATAGAGGTGAGGGTATGAGGGGAGCGTGGGGACAATGAGAAAGAATTAGTGTTAAGGGACTGTGCTACCAGAGGGATCAAAATGAGGGCATTGGGGAAATAGAGTGAGCTGGACAGATAGGCAGTGGGGGTGGGTGAGCGGGGTATTTGGGATTGAGATGATGCAGGGGGTGCAGCCACTGGTAAGGATGAGGTCTACAGTATGACCTTGAAAAGATGGGTCACGCAGTCTCTGGGAAAGAGGAAGGCAATGAACCAGAGGCTGGAAGGGTCGCATCCGGCTATGGAGGTCACTGTAAGCTGTCACAGCAATGCTGGAGAGGGTTGCAGTGATCCATCGGTTATGGTTTTCAAGGAATGATGGGTGTGTAGGATCGATAACAAGAAGGAATTATGGGTGCTGTAGTTCAAGGGCACAGGCTTTGAAATTAGAATGCTGTAGAGGGGATTGAGCATGGAGGGAACAGAAGGGACCTTGAGCAGCAAGCAGGACCCGTTATTTTGCCCTACCTAGTGGGAGAAGCAGCTGCATGGGAGAGGGTGGCCAGGGAAGCTTGACCTCTGCAGAGGGCAAAGGTCAGGTGGAGCCAGACTCGCTTCATTGTCGGGGGACAGGTGGAGTGCCAGGTGCTTGGTGCCTCGTTTGCCCCCTTCTTCTCTCTACGCCCCCATTCTCTGCCCCCATCATCCCACAAATCCTATGCTGAGGACCAGTGCACACATTTTCCTACCCCTCACCTCACTGGGAGTTGGGCATGGTTGCCATCAGCCCTAATTTACAGATGGGGAAACCGAGGCTCAGAGAGACCAAGAGTCCACCATACTTGAGGGAGGGCACATCTTTTAAGAGGCAGTACTGGCCTGGCACGGTGGCTCACACCTGTAATCCCAGCACTTTGGGAGGCCGAGGCGGGTGGATCACCTGAGGTCGGGAATTCGAGACCAACCTGACCAACATGGAGAAACTCTGTCTCTACTAAAAATATGAAAAGTTAGCCTGGCATGGTAGCCCATGCCTGTAATTCCAGCTACTTGGGAGGCTGAGGCAGGAGAACTTCTTGGACCTGGGAGGTGGAGGTTGCAGTGAGCTGAGATCATGCCATTGCACTGCAGCCTGGGCAGCAAGAGTGAAACTCCCTCTCAAAAAAACGAAAACAAAAACAAACTAGCACTGTGACTGCTCGGGCCAGGTGCTGTCAGGTCCCCCAGTGCCTTTTGCTTGGGTCTCACGGCCTTCCTGCCTCCTTGGCACCTCTGGAGTGGCACGAGGAGTGCCCCTGCATGCCCTAGCCCCTCCTGTGAGCAGCTCTGTGGCTGCACTGCACCTCGAGTTCTGCTCTGAGGCAAAAACCCTCTCTCCCCTCCCGAATTCCACCTGCTGAGATGCCTGGAGAGTCAGATTCCCAATTTTCCTTTTCCCTTTATAAAGCAAATATTCTGGACCCCAAACTGGGGCCTCTGAGGAGATCCTCAGATGAGCTTTGGGTTGAGCTGGTGAGGGGTTCAAACCACCTGAAATGTCAGGAATTATGCTTAGTGAATAAGGCGAGGTGCATTCTGGGGAGCAGGTCTAAGGGGGGCTCTGTGAGAAGCCCTGCCTCAAGTCCTCTGTGGGGCCTCTCCCAGCAGCCCCGAGAGACTTCCTGGGGTTCCAGTTTCCTCCTCCCAGCCTGTGAGAAGCTGACCTGGGGTCTGTGTGGGATTGGAGGGGACCCTCCCCACCCCGCTGAGAGGTGAGTAATGGCACTTGATCTTTCTTTTGCAGATTTCCAAGCCCTGGATTGCCTCCAGTCCACCTCCCTCCTCTGAGAATGGAGGCTCTGCCAGCCCAGGCTGCCCGCTGGAAGCCTCAGGCCCAGGCCCTGGCTCTCCCCATCTTCACTCACTCAATAAGAGTTCTCCCTGCCACTCACAGCTTCTGGAAGCCCAGAGTCCTGAAGCTTCCCAGGCTTCTCCCTGCCCTGCTGGGACTCCATCAGCTCCAAGTGCAGTCCTACCTGACAAAGGCTCCCACCACACCCCCAGCCCAGAGCTCCCAGCTGAAGGGGCCCCAGAGGCCCCCAGACCCAGCAGCCCTCCCCATGAGGTCTTGGAGCCCCACAGTCTGGAACAGCCCCCTGCCACCTCGTCCCAGCCCCTGATCGAGGTGGGTGAGTTGCTGGATCTCACTCGGACGCTTCCATCTAGTGGGGAGGAGGCGGCCAAGGGTGACGCACTCCTCCGCCCCACCAGCCTGGTTCAGCGCCGATTCTCCGAAGGTGTGCTCCAGTCACCCAACCAGGACCAGGAGAAGCTGGGGGGCTCGCTGGCTGCCCTGCCCCAAGGCCAGGGAAGCCAGTTGGCCTTGGATCATCCCTTTGGAGCAGAGTCCAACTGGAGTTTATCACAGTCCTTCGAGTGGACCTTCCCCACGCGGCCCTCGGGTCTGGGAGTGTGGCGGCTGGACTCCCCGCCTCCCTCTCCCATCACTGAAGCCAGTGAGGCCGCCGAGGCTGCTGAGGCTGGCAACTTGGCCGTGTCCGGCAGAGAAGAAGGAGTGTTTAAGCAGGGGCAAGGGGCCTGGTCAACGCCAAGTGGATCAGAAAGGCCTAGTTCCTGGGTGCAGGGGGATGATCCAAGCATGTCCCTTACCCAAAAGGGGGATGGGGAGAGTCAACCTCAGTTCCCAGCTGTTCCCCTTGAGCCCCTACCTGCAGTTGAGGGCATGCCTGGATTACCTTTGCAGCAGGCAGAGGAGGGGTGTGAGTTGCAGGAGCCCCTGGCTGGACAGGAGTTCCCTCTCCCTCTGGCTACCAGGGAGGCAGCCCTGCCCGTCCTGGAGCCAGTCCTGGGGCAGGAGCAGCCAGCACCACCTGACCAGCCCTGTGTTCTCTTTGCTGATGCCCCTGAGCCTGGGCAGGCCCTGTCTGTTGAGGAGGAGGCTGTGACCCTAGCTCTGGCCGAGACCACCGAACCCAGGACAGAGGCTCAAGACTCCTGTAGGGTGTCCCCCGAGCCTGCGGGGCCTGAAAGCAGCTCCCACTGGCTAGACGACCTCCTGGCTTCACCACCACCCAGTGGTGGCAGTGCACGGCGAGGAGCTGGAGCTGAGCCGAAGGATGCACAGTCCCCAAGTACCTGCTCCGAGGTGAGGATGGGCATAGGGAGTGGGGGGCTTCTGGGGACAGAGGCCAGGGCTTGGGTGGGCTTCATTCTTTGAATGTGGATTTTACGTGTCAAGAGCTTGGGCTGTGGTAGCGAGCAGGGCAGCTGTGGACCTGCACATCGTAGGTCCTCAGAGCCACACGGGATGGTGTGTGGGGTTTCGTGTAAGGCTCTATCCCAGCTCCAGCACCCGCTAGCTGATTGGTCTTGGGAAGAATGTACCTTAACTGCTAAGCTTCAGAGTCCTTCCATGATAGCACTGGCCTCTGAGAGTTAAATCGCGGGAAACTGAGAGGTGGGGAGCTCTGAGTATGGTATGTGGCAGGTGCGGAGTATTCAGTCTTATTATGGCAATGTTATTCAAGGCACAGTAGTGTAGCCATTTAGAGTGTGGGCTCCTGAGTTCGTCTCCTGGCTCTACTGTTCCTTTGCCCAGGTGTGACCTTGAAAGAGCGACTTTTCTGCCCTCTGCCTCAGTTTCCACATCTGTAAACCGTGGATCACAAGATGAGCTCTACCCCCGAGGGTGTTGGCAAGGGTTCAATGAGTTGTAATGTCTAAAGTGCTAAGAATAGCCCTTGGCTCATCCTAAGTGCTTAATAAGTGTTGGCTTTTACAAACGTTATTAACATTGAGCTCCAGACCTGCTTTGTAGACAGGCAGCTGGGGCTTAGAGGAGGTGAGCCTTGTGCAGTTACCCAGCAAGTTGGTGGCTGGGCCTAGGCCAGCGCTGTTTCCCTGCCCGATGCCCTTTCTCTTACCAGGCTGCCTCTGAATTTAAGGGCCAGGGGCCAGGTGGCTTTTGAAATTTATTTCTCAGGCCAAGCCTGGGCTGGAAGGGGCGGAGCTGCAGGGGGCCTCTAGGGGCTGGGGGGCGGGGAGGAGGAGGAGCAGGAAGGGGTTAAGCTGACTCCTGCAGTAGGTGTGTCTGTCCCGGGATGTGGGTGACTCAACTGACTCCTGGGCGGGGCTGCCCGATGTGCAGCTGCTCCGGAGGGAGCAGGGCCAGGGTGAGGGAGAGCCAGCGCCAGAGCCGTCGGACAGGTCCCAGCTCGGGGAGCGGCCCAGCCCTGTCCCTGTGCCTGGCTGGCCGCACCCAGCAGCCCCAAGGCGGGCGGGGGGCGGGGGGCGGGGGGCCATGGCCCAGCCTAGGGATGGGGAGGCCAGCATGTCTATCCTGGAGCGGCTGCTGGCCAACGCAGCGCTGCGGGATGAGGCTGGCCGGCTCCGAAGCCCTGAGCCCAGGACTCTCCCGCCCACAAGGGTGAGTCAGGGAGAGTGAGGTGGGGGGTGGGGCGCAAAAACCCCGGGCTGGGATTTCCCCCTGTGCCACAGGCTGCCCCTCCTGTCTTTCCTGAGCCAGGGTGAAGGCTGAGAGGTCTTCCTGGGGAGGACTGGGCAGACAGCACTTTCGTTGGGAAGAAGGGCCTGGGTACTTACAGGAGGACGGGGTCGGATGGGGCAGGGGAGCGGATGGGCTGGAAAAGCTCTCACTGGTGTTGGAAACTTGCTGTGCAAGGGAGGTCACAGAGGCTTTGAATCTTGACCTCTCCTAATCGAAAGGAAAGCGCCCTCCCCGCCATTCCTGTGTGAAGACCACTCCTCTCCTGGCTGTTAGCCAAGTATTGCCCAAGGGTTGTAAACATGACCATGGGACCATCGATTGAGTGCCCACTGCATGCCAGGCACTGTGCCGAGTGCTTGGTCTAAATGATCTCATTTAATCCTCTCACACCAGCCCCATGCAGAAGGAATTATCCTTGTTTGAGGATGAGGCCGCTGAGGCCCAGAGTAGTTAGGTGATTTGCTGAAGGTCACACAGCTTTCTGTTGCCAGGGTGGGGTTCTCAGGCACTGGGCAGCATGGACCTTGCCGGATTGACCCCCCCACACCCCGGTTGAATCTAATCATTGTTTCTTTGTCTGTTTTTTTTTTGTCGTTGTTGTTATTCCCAGGGACTCCTTGGCTGGTCCCAGAAAGATCTGCAGAGTGAATTTGGGATCACAGGAGACCCACAGCCCAGCAGTTTCAGTCCTTCCAGCTGGTGTCAAGGTGCTTCTCAGGACTATGGCCTTGGGGGTGCAAGCCCTAGAGGAGACCCAGGCCTCAGAGAGGGTGACTGGACCAGCAAGTATGGGCAAGGAGCTGGGGAAGGGAGCACCAGGGAGTGGGCCAGCCGGTGTGGCATCGGCCAGGAGGAGACGGAGGCCAGCAGCAGCCAAGACCAGAGTGAAATGACTGCTCCAGGGGGCCTCACAGCCCAGGACCGGGTAGTGGGAAAGCCAGCCCAGCTTGGCAAGCAGCGGAGCCAGGAGGCAGATGTTTCGGACTGGGAGTTCAGGAAGAGGGATTCCCAGGGCACCTATTCCAGCCGGGATGCAGAACTCCAGGACCAGGAATTCGGGAAGAGAGATTCACTGGGTGCTTACAGTAGTCGAGATGTAAGCCTTGGGGACTGGGAATTTGGGAAGAGAGATTCTCTGGGTGCTTATGCCAGCCAAGACGCCAATGAGCAGGGCCGGGATTTGGGGAAGAGGGACCACCATGGCAGATACGGCAGCCAGGATGCTGATGAGCAGGACTGGGCGTTTGAGAAAAGAGATGTGTCCCTCGGCACCTATGGCAGCCGGGGTGTGGAGCCACAGGAACAGGAGTTTGGGAAGAGCGCTTGGATGAGGGACTACAGCAGCGGTGGCAGCTCGAGGACCCTTGACACCCAGGACAGAGGCTTTGGAACGAGACCCCTGAGCTCTGGGTTCAGCCCTGAGGAAGCCCAGCAACAGGATGAGGAATTTGAGAAGAAGATTCCGAGTGTGGAAGACAGCCTTGGAGAGGATAGCGGGGATGCTGGCCGGCCAGGCGAGAGAGAATCAGGGGGCCTGTTCAGTCCTAGCACTGCTCACATGCCAGACGGGGCACTCGGGCAGAGAGACCAGAGCAGCTGGCAAAACAGTGATGCCAGCCAGGAGGTGGGAGGGCAGCAGGAGAGGCAGCAGGCAGGGGCTCAGGGTCCTGGCAGTGCTGACCTGGAAGATGGGGAAGTGGGGAAGCGAGGCTGGGCCGGTGAGTTTAGCCTCAGTGTTGGCCCCCAGCGAGAGGCAGCATTTAGCCCAGGGCAGCAGGACTGGAGCCGGGATTTCTGCATCGAGACCAGTGAGAGGAGCTATCAGTTCGGCATCATTGGTAATGACAGAGTGAGTGGTGCTGGCCTGAGCCCTTCCAGCAAGTCGGGAGGTGGTCACTTTGTGCCTCCTGGGAAGACCACAGCTGGCTCTGTGGACTGGTCTGACCAGCTGGGTCTCAGGAACTTGGAAGTGTCCAGCTGTGTGGTTTCCGGGGGTTCGAGCGAGGCCAGGGAGAATGCCGTGGGACGGATGGGCTGGTCAGGCGGCCTGGGCTTAAGAGACATGAACCTGACCGGCTGTTTGGAAAGTGGAGGGTCTGAAGAGCCTGGGGAAGTCAGAGTTGGGGAGAAGGACTGGACTTCTGATGGTCATGTCAAGGGCAGAGATTTGGCTGAGGTCGGTGAGGGAGGAGGCCACAGCCAGGCCAGAGAGAGTGGTGTGGGGGAGACAGACTGGTCAGGGGTGGAGGCCGGAGAGTTCCTGAAATCAAGGGAGCATGGCGTTGGACAGGCAGACTGGACACCTGACCTGGGGCTGAGAAACATGGCCCCAGGGGTAGTCTGCAGTCCCGCAGAGCCCAAAGAGCTTGGGGTGGGCCAGATGGACTGGGGGAACAATCTGGGCCTGAGGGATCTGGAGGTGTCCTGTGACCCAGAGTCTGGAGGTTCTCAGGGGCTGCGGGGATGTGGAGTGGGGCAGATGGACTGGACCCAGGACTTGAGGCCCCGAAATGTGGAGCTCTTCGGGGCTCCAACTGAAGCCAGGGAGCATGGGGTGGGTGGGGTTGGCCAGTGCCCAGAGCCAGGCCTGCGGAACAATGGCAGCTTGTCCCCTGGCCTGGAGGCCAGAGACCCCTTGGACGCCAGGGAGCTGGGGGTTGGTGAGACAAGTGGTGGGCCAGAGACCCTGAGAGAAGATGACCCCTCGTGCTCCTTGGAGATACACCCTGCAGACCCTGGAATGGAGATGGGAGAAGCCCTTGGCTTTGGAGCCAGGTAAGCAGCACAGCCTCATCCCAGTGTGGGCTACCTGAGAAACTGGAGCCTTTATGAGGAGGGAAGGAACAGTTTTTCCTGAGAACTTTTAGTGTTTGGTTACTGAAGACATTTTGAACTGAGAGTTTTAAGAAACTGGAATAATGACACATCCAGGTGAATTCCTTTTCTGAAGGATGACTAATGTGTTAGTAAGTTATCACTCATTTGCAACCCATGTTTTGAGCTTCCTTGGTGATTTGAAGTTGTGACTGTGCTGGGGGGGATGGTGCATGTTATAGCTTGGATGTTTCTGGTAGGTTCTGCTCTCGTACACAGTAGCTGTTTCCCAGGCCTCACAGGTGGTTTCATAGGTGTAGGGCAGAGGATTCTGTGTTTTCTTGGCCGGGGCCACCGCAGCCGGGAGTGGAGTGGACAGTGGCACCCACGAGTTATCAGAGGTTTGGGACTTGGTGCTTCTTGCCTGTCCTGTCATGAAGCCTGGAAGAGCAAGTTTAGGAACTTGAAGGGTATATTGGGACCTGGCCTCATGACCATGGCCTCTGTGCAAAGTTGCTGAAAGAGAACTTGACAAAGGTTTTACAAGCCAACCACGGTCTGTTTCGTGGATGTTTTACAACCAGCTGAGATGATTTTGCAGCTGAGAAAGGTGTTAAAAAGACAGTGCTTCCGTTTTGTTAACATTTCCATCCATTGAGATTTGCTTTGATTCCCTTTAGTGAGCAGAAAATGTTACCTTTTCCAGACCCACAGTGGGAGCGTCTCCCTGGGTATGTGGGGAAGGCAAGGGAAGTGTGGGACGAGGGCTTTTGTAAGTGGAAGGAGCCGGTAGTGGGAGGAGAGGACCAGGAAGGAGCTGGAGAGCATCGTGGTGGTCTTGGGGAGTCAGGAGAGGCATTTGGGGTGGAGGAGAAGGAGGGAGGGAGGACCCAGGGAGCTGCCCAGTGGGGTTTGAGGAAGGGGATCTTCCTGACGACTCAGGCTGTTGACAGGGTGGCCATGGAGCCCTGGGAACCACTGAGGCTGTGTCCAGGACTGTGGGGAAGAAGGGAGGCTCTTAGCCTCAGTTTCTCAGGGTTTGACTCGGGAAGTGCAGAGTTAAAGCTCTAACGTTCCTGGTGCAGGGGAGAGTCGAGGCTTGGCGTGGTTGTTCCAGATTTCTCTTCCTGGGACTCATAGAACTCATGCCCCATGCTCAGCCACACATCGTACCTCATTGATCTTCACAGCTGCTCTGGGAAGCAGGAAAGGGATTTTTATCCTGTCCGTTAGTGGGTGGAGAGGTGGTGTGACCCCTTAAGGAAGGGCAGAGTGTCAGCTGTACCTCTTTCTCACTTGTTTATGTTAATTGCTTTCAGGTTTTGCCTCTGTGGGATACCCCCCCACCCCACCCTTCTACCCCACAGCTCTCTGCCTTTCCCTTCTGAATGGGGTGGCTCTTGAGAAGTGGAAAGTGATCATCTCCGTTCCCTTTGTTTAGGATGGAGGGAGGTGGGGCGGGGATTGTGCCGGGACTAGGTTAGGGGAAGTGGGGGAGGGTAGCGTTGGACAAGCCGGGAAGCGCTGGGCTTTCTGAGCTTCGGTCTCATCACGCCTTTAAAGCACCCAGGCTTTTGTGATTTTGTTACTGCAAGTCTCACTGTATGCAACAGAAAGCGTGGCTCCTCGAAAGCCGAAAGGAGACAGTTGCTTTAGAGAGGAGTTCGAGGGGCTTGTTTGAATTTGGTGCTTTCAGGCAACCTTTTCTAAAATGTGTCCTAAAGAATACCAGTCTGTGAATATGTTTGGAAAATGCTGGGTACTCTATGGCTGTTCAGAAGACTTAGTCTGTGTAGTAGCATATATTAGTATCTTAAAGACAAGTAACAAATGCTGTGTTTGCCAGACTAATTTGGCTAATGTCCAAGAACCTAGTGTTTTGAGCAGGGAAATTCTGATGTAGGGAAATTCTACACTATGAGCACTTTCTCTCGTTTTTTTTTTTGAGACAGAGTTTCAGTCTATCACCCAGGCTGGAGTGCAGTGGCACTCTCGGCTCACTGCAACCTCTGCTTCCTGAGTTCAAATGATTCTCCTGTCTCAGCCTCCCTAGTAGCTGGGATTACAGGTGCACATCACCACACCTGGATAATTTTTGTATTTTTTAATAGAGACGGGATTTCACCATGTTGACCAGGCTGGTCTCGAACTCCTGATCTCATGATCTACCCAGCTTGGCCTCCCAAAATGCTGGGATTACAGGTGTGAGCCACCGCGCCTGGCCCACTACCAGCACTTTCTCTTCAAAAGAAAATTTTGGGGGTTCCCTTTGTAACGAGAAGTCCTTGATACTAGCTCAGAGGGGTCTGGCTTTGGGTCCCTCTGCCAGGCTTGCATTCTGATTCTGTCACCACCTCTGTGACCTTGGGCAAGTTTGTTCTCTTCTGCGGGCCTCTGATTCCTCGTCTGTAAGCTGGGAGTGACTTACACCCAGTACTCATGGGGTTTTGTTAATAAGTCCTCACAAAAAGTAGGGACACTGAGAGAGGCAGTGTGCTGTGCACAGGTTCCCACAGCTGGTGGCTGTGGGTTCTTCTTGTCACCTTGGGCCCAAGCCTTGCAGTCTTCTCTGGGTACCCTTCTTATCTCTCTGGGGTCAAGGCCAGCTGCTGTTCCTCTAGGCACATCTTTCTAGCCCCACTGCTCCCTCTTTTCAGGTCAGAACACTGGGATAGTCACGTTTTGCAGTTCAGCGCCATGTCTGCCTCTGCAGCCGTGCTGGAGGGTGGGGTGGGATACAGTCCTGGCCCTCTGGGTACTCTGAAGTTTAGACCACGTGAAGGGTGTAGTTGGGACAAGATGAGGCACATCCTCTCTGGCCAGGGACCTGTGTTGAAGATGATAATGACTATCCTAATAATTTGTTGTATTTGGCAAGTGCTAACTATGTGTTAGGCACATATTTCTGCCAACAAACTAGTATGGTTTACGTACTTTTATCATCCCCATTTTACAGATAAAGAAACTGAGATTCAGAGTGGAACAAGTAAGTTGTGTTCAAAGCCACAGCGTAGGAGGAGACAGAGCCTAGCTGTGTCCTGGAGTGGCAGGACTCAGCCCCTGTGTTCCTAACTACCCCCTTCCTGCTCCATGCTGGGAGGGGCTCAGCTTGTGTGTGATCCGGATGCTTAGGAGTAGGAAAGCTTTTCCTAAGATGGGGTGGGATTTAGTCTGGCGGGGTGGGCGTAACTGTGCTTGTCAAGTGCTAACTATATGCTAGGCACATATTTCTGATTCAGAAGAGCCCATAACTGCACTTTCTTTCTTTCTTTTTTTTTTTTGAGACGGAGTTTCGCTCTTGTTACCCAGGCTGGAGTGCAATGGTGCGATCTTGGCTCACCGCAACCTCCGCCTCCTGGGTTCAGGCACTTCTCCTGCCTCAGCCTCCTGTGTAGCTGGGATTACAAGCGTGCGCCACCATGCCCAGCTAATTTTTTTGTATTTTTTTTGATAGAGACGGGGTTTCACCATGTTGACCGGGATGGTCTCGATCTCTTGACCTCGTGATCCACCCACCTCGGCCTCCCAAAGTGCTGGGATTACGGGCTTGAGCCACCGTGCCTGGCCCATAACTGCACTTTCATGGGCTCTCCCCACTTGCCACTCTCTGCTCCTCAAGGCCACCATCAGAGCCCACTGACCTCTGTCCAAGTGGCTTGGACCAGCTGTCGATTTAGGAGTGGATCTTTTGGAGTTTTGCTCTTCTTGCTCGGGCTGGAGTGCAGTGGCGCCATCTCAGCTCACTGCAACCTCCACCTCCCAGGTTCAAGCGATTCCCCTGCCTCAGCCTCCCAAGTAGCTGGGGTTACAGGCGCCTGCCACCACACCCAGGTGGGAGGCCTGGCTAATTTTTGTATTTTTAATAGAGACAGGGTTTCACCATGTTGGCCAGGCTAGTCTGGAACTCCTGACCTCAGGTGATCTGCCTGCCTTGGCCTCCCAAAGTGTTGGGATTACAGGTGTGAGCCACACTGCACCTGGCGGAATGGATCTTTTTAGCTACATGGGCTTTTTACATCTCTTTAGCTTGTGAGGCCTGCCCTGAGCCATCTTTTGTCCCACCCCAGGGAGAGGCTTCGGGTGGGGTGCTGTTGCTGCCCCCTCCCTCTGAAGCCTTCCTGACTTTAAGCTGGCTGTCAGGGTGAGTTGGCTCTGGCCCCCAGCCAGGGCTGCTCCCAATTCTGCCGCCTTGCTGTACTTCTTCTGCCGTCACTGCCTCCTTCCCCCACGTCTCTTCCCGGACAGCTTTAATTTCCATCTGTCAGCAGCTCATGGAAGGACAGACTGCCACTCATGCTCTCTGTCCCTGCCCCCTCTTCCTGCTTGGTATTGACTCACCTGCCTCACTCTCCTCCTGCTTTAATCCCATTGGGAACCTGGGGCCTGGCTTCCAGGCACTGCCCTGCTAGCATTTCCCACACCTCTGTGCCTGGTGTGAGTATGGTGGGGGCGGCGGGCACACTGTGTGTGTGTATGCGCGCGCGTGTCGGGTGTGGCTCTGTGCCGTGCTGGTAGACATGGTGGGTGCAAGGTGCATCTCTGGGAGTGACAGTGCACACGCCCTCTGCCTGAGTGTGTGTGATGAGTGTGAGTGTATCTGTCATTTTGGGGAGTGGCAGCTGGACAGGATGGGAAGGATGAGTTAGCGAGAGAGTGTGTGCTGTGCTTGTGCCGTGTTTGTTTTTTGTTTTTAGATGGGATCTTGCTATGTTGCCCAGGCTGGTCTTGAACTCTTGGGCTCACATGATCCTCCCGCCTTGGCCTCCTAAGTAGCTGGGATTATAGGCGTGAGCCTCACGCCTGGCTGTGCTGTGTTTTGAGGAAGCAGCAGACAGAAGACACATGTGCTGCATACAGGTCCAAGGTGACCCAGTCCCTCGTTTACTTGGCAAACATTTGCTCAGTCCAGCTCGTAGCCAGGCTCTGGGTCGGGTGCTGGTGGCATAAAGGCAGAAAGGTCCCCGTTTTTTTTCCTTGAGCTCGTAGGCTGTGGAGACAAAGAACCACAGGATGGAAGCAGGAGCTGGCATGGGTTGGAGCCCAGGGCTTGTAGGGCTGAGGCGGCCATGGTGGCTGGGAGGGGGCAGGGCAGCTTTGGAAGCAGAATTGAACTGAAGGGACAGTACCACAAGGGACAGTGGGCTGCAGGGAGCTTTCCAGAAGATGGAGTAGCTTGTGCAAAGCCAGCAGCACGTGAGGGCCAGGTGTGTTCTGAGGGCCAGGTGTGTTCTGATGGCCTGGGGAGTGAAGAGGCATCACGTCAGGGCTGAAGACATGAGTCCAGAGAGGCAGGTGGGCCAGTGCCTGGCTCACCCTGAGGGGCATGACTGCCCAAGCAGGTGGCCCTGGAGGATAGTGGCTGCTCCTTCTGGGGTGCGTACTGACCAGGACTGCACCAAGTGCTTTAGATTCTTCTTTTTTTTATTTTTTTGAGACAGAGTCTGGCTCTGTTGCCCAGGCTGGAGTGCAGTGGCGCGATCTTGGCTTACTGCAACCTCCAGCCTCAGCCTCCCGAGTGGCTGGGATTACAGGCGTTTGCCACCATGCCGCCCAGCTAACTTTTGTATTTTTAGTAGAGATGGGGTTTCACCCTCTTGGCCTTGGCCAGGCCGGTCTTGAACTCCTAGCCTCAAGTGATCCTCCCGCCTTGGCCTCCCAAAGTGCTGGGACAGGCATGAGCCACCGTGCCCAGCTAGATTCTTCTTTCATCCATGTAGCAACTCTGTGCAGTTAGAGGAGCCTGAGCTGTTTCCAGGGAGGGGGCTCACCCAAGATCTTGGGATTTGAACCCGCCAGACTGGCCCGGCTCTTCCTCTGTGTGCTGTTTTGCTCAAGGCCCTGACCTGAAGGTCCTTCCTGAAGGAGTCTGAGAAAAGCATGGGAAGGAGGGAGAGAGAGAGGTTGGGGGTTGGGGGAAGGAGCTCGTGAAGTAGGTTTCAGGGCAGGGAGAGGGGGCCTTATGGGGATCTCGTTCTCTTTCTGTCCCCTCTGCAGTCCTGGCAGGTGCCCGGCCCGCTCCCCACCCTCCGGCTCCCAGGGCCTGCTGGAGGAGATGCTGGCAGCCAGCAGCTCCAGGGTGGTGGCGCGGAGGGAGTCAGCGGGCTCAGGACTTGGGGGCCCGTTGGAGGAAGGAGCTGCATCAGGTGCTGCCCAGGAGGAGGTGCTGGAGCCTGGCAGGGACTCTCCACCGTCCTGGAGGACCCAGCCTGATGGCGAGGCCAGCCAGACAGAAGATGTGGACAGCACCTGGGGCTTTTCAGTGGCCAGGCGGAGCGATCAGGGGCCAGCACAGGCTTCTCGGCGACCCTCCCAAGGCCCTCCTCCCAGATCCCCCAGTCAGGACTTCTCCTTCATTGAGGTCAGTGAAGGGTGAGCCCAAGACAGTGGGTGGGTGAGTGCAATGAAGCCAGAGCCCCATTCCTGGTGCGTCCCTGGGCAGTCCCAGTCCAGGAGGCAGAAGCAGAAGGCGGGTTGTAGGTGTGTCACGTGAATTTGAGGCTCTGGCTGCAGGAGGGGTCAGTTCCCAGTCAGCTGCTGTGGATGGACTCCCATGGTATGGGGCAGCAATGGCAGTGGTGTCACTATTGCCCCGAGCAGGACACCGAGATCCTCGACAGTGCCATGTATCGGAGCCGTGCCAACTTGGGGCGCAAACGTGGGCACCGGGCCCCGGCCATTCGGCCTGGGGGTACCTTGGGCCTGTCGGAGGCAGCAGACTCGGACGCCCGCCTGTTCCAGGACTCTACGGGTAGGGCTGATGGATTATTTTATGATGTCTCTTGATGTCTGGGGTGTTAGGCCCGGCTTGTGCAGGGGCTGCAGGGTGGGGGTATCTGGGTGTGCTGCCTTTTCTGAGCCCCTTCCCTGGGCCTTTGCAGAGCCACGGGCATCTCGGGTGCCATCTTCAGATGAAGAGGTAGTAGAGGAACCTCAGAGCCGCCGGACACGGATATCCTTGGGCACCAAGGGGCTGAAAGTCAACCTCTTTCCTGGCCTGAGCCCGTCAGCCCTGAAGGTACCATCTGATCATTAGGCAAACATGTCCAGCCATCTGGCCAGGTGGCCGCCTTGCATGCTGCCTTTCTTCTCTCCATCCATCAATTCATTCCCCTGGTCCCCCTCTCGCATTCCTCCTCTCATTCTGGTTCCCATTGAGGGCTCCAGAAGATCCCTTGGTGCCCCATTGGGCCCTGTGCTGTGTGCCATGTGGGATGGAAAGAACAAGACGTATGCTTGTCCTGGAACCTCAGGGGCAGTGGGAGATGTGATGCCCGTAATTAGCTTGGATGAGGGAAAGGTTATGTGTCCCTGGGGAGAGGCGCAGATAGGGGCTGGGCCTGTTCAGAGAGACAGGAGTCATTTCCTAACAGCAGGGTGGAGGGGAAGGGGAAGGGAGGGTGGATTGGGGAAGGCCTCTTGTAAGTGGATCATCTTGGCCTGAGGCAGGCACAGGAGTTGGCTCCTGGAGCTGGGTGGTGGGTTGCACCGCAGCAGAGGGAACAGGGGAGGGAAGTCACCACTGGCTTTGTCCCACCCAGTTTGTCTGAATTCAATCCTGCCATATCTTTTTGAGGACAGAAAGGTGTGCAAGGCTTAGCTCAGTTCTGGGGGAGGTACATCTCAAAGTGACTTCTCATCCTTTGGGGTAAAAGGACTGTAGAGGGTTCTCTGCCTGATTCTGGGGATTACACGCTCTTGAGATAAGCTCTCACTATCTGAGAATCCTACTGCCTGTCCCTCTTATATCTGTCTGCATCTGGACTTGTTTCTCAGGCCAAGCTGCGTTCCCGGAATCGCTCAGCTGAGGAAGGGGAGCCAGCAGAGAGCAAATCGAGCCAGAAGGAGTCCGCAGTCCAGCGCTCCAAGTCCTGCAAGGTCCCAGGGCTGGGGAAGCCCCTCACCTTACCTCCCAAGCCAGAGAAGTCCTCAGGGTAGGTGACCTGGGCTCTGGGCACCCACTGACCTCACTGTATTACTCTGAAAAGGGAAACTCCCACTTCACAGAAGAGGAAGACTGAGGCTCTAGGAGGAGGCTCAGTTGCACATGCCCCAGCTGAACTGTATGAAGTTGATGTCAGAATTCGGGTCCCCGCAGCCAGGCCCCAGGCTGCCTCTTCTGATTGCAGGGTGGTTTCTGTCCCTATCATGTCTTCTTGTTTTGTTCATTTTCCCCAAAGTTTGCATCATGGACCTTTGCCCTCTGCCTCCTAGGTCAGAAGGATCGTCGCCCAACTGGCTGCAAGCCCTGAAGCTGAAGAAGAAGAAGGTCTGAGAAGTGACTGAGGTGAGGGCAGGTTCCTGGGCTTGGATCCAGTCTGAGTAGGGCCCGCCCTGGAGGGTTGGGAGGCCTCATACCCCTTCTGTCCCTTAGCTCCCACCCCTTTCTCTGTGAGGTTAGAAACAGCAGGTGAAGCCAAGCTCCAGAGACTTGGTAGGCCCTTGGCTGCTCTAGATTTTGTCCACAGGGAGGTCAGGGTGTTGTCTGGCCTGGTATGGAAGAGGAGGAGATCTGCCATCCTGGCCTGCCTCTCTGGGCTCAGGGACAGTCCCCCATGTCTGCTGGCTGGATGGATAGTGATCAGCCAGCCCTTCTGGTCTGGGACCCTGTGGGCATTTACCAGCCTCCATGACCAGGCTCAGCCGGGGGAACCAGGATGGGTGTCGGGGAGAGGAAGCTAAGCCTCCACAGTGTCCTTCCCTGACGTCTTTTCCTCCCTTCCCATTGCAGGTTCTTCCCATCTGGCAGTCTCAGGCAGTGCCCATTCCTGTGGGGTCCCTGGGTGAGGAGACGGCTGGAGCCCCACCACGCCACGCCCCAGGCTGTAGCCTCTGTCCCCCTCCACCTCTGAGCAGCATCTGGGGAGGCACATTTATGCACTTTGTATCACCTTCCCGACTCCCCCAACACCTTCCCTTCCAGCCTGGATTTCATCACTAGTGGTTGAAGGTTCTGTCCCTCCCTCCTTCTTCCCTCTCCCTCTCTGCTTCCTCCTCCAGCCTCCCTTGGGTTTTCTTTTGATACCAATTTATAGCATTTTTTATAAAAGCCTTTGATTTTTATAATGGGTGGGACTATACCCCTGCCCCACCCCAGGTCTCCCTCTGCCCCACCAGGTACCCCACAGAGACCAATGACATTTTGCCACTTGAAACAATAAATAAAGTTTTTTGGGAATTGGTGCTGTCTAGGTGGTGAGGCGTGGTCATGGCTGCTCATCCCATTCTTCCCCACCAGGGGCTAACTCTGACATTGGATGTGTCACTTCTCTTTCACTCACTTACTGGGCACATCACTGAGAAGGGTATATTGGTTATAATAGGATGATCAAGAATTCAGACACTCCCTAAATCTTAGTAGTTTAGCATAAAAAGGTTTACATTTCATCCATGACACAGTCCAGGGTGGGCTGGTGACAGGGGCACTCTGTACCTTAAAGTCATTCAGAGCCCAGGCTCTTTCCCTGTTGTGGCTCGGCCATCTTCAGGGCCTGGAGTCTTCTGCCACATCTAATAGAGTAAGGGGAAATACTTTGTGGGAGATACTCTGAGTCCATTCAGGCTGCTGTAACAAAATACTGTAGACTTGGATGGCTTATAAACAACGGACATTTATTTCTCACAGTTTTGGAGGCCAAGAAGCTCAAGATCAAAGCACTGACAGATTCAGTGTCTGGTAAGGACCTATTTTCTGGTTCATAGATGGCGCCTTCCTGCTGCATCCTCACATGTAGAAGGGACAAGGGAGCTCTCTGGGGCCTCTTTTATAATGGTACTAATCCTCTTTGTGAGACCTCCAACCTCATAACCTAAACATCTCCCAATTTTTTTTTTTGAGATGGAGTCTTGCTCTGTCACCCAGGCTGGTGTGCAGTGATGTGATCTTGTCTCACTGCAACCTCTGCCTCCCAGGTTCAAGTGATTTTCCTGCCTCAGCCTCCCCAGTATGTGGGATTACAGGCACACACCACCATGCCAGGCTAATTTTTGTATTTTTAATAGAGACAGGATTTCACCGTGTTGGCCAGGTTGATCTTGAACTCCTGACCTCAGGTGATCTGCTTGCCTTAGCCTCCCAAAGTGCTGGGATTATAGGCCTGAGCCACTGTGCTCAGAAAAGGCCTTTCTTCCTAGTATCATCTTGAAGGTTAGGAATTTAACAACATTTAACAAATGTTGGGTACAAACATTCAGACTATAGTTTTCTACCCGTCTTAAAATCTCTTCTAAATATTATCTAATGCCAGGTGTGGTGGCTCACACCTGTAATCCCAGCACTTTGGGAGGCCAAGGCAGGCAGATCATTTGAGGTCAGGAGTTCAAGGCCAGCCTGGCCAACATGGTAAAACTCTGTCTCTACTACTAATACCCACCCCCCAAAACAAAAAAGATATGGTGGTGTGTGTCTGTAGTGCCAGCTACTCAGGAGGTTGAGGCACGAGAATCGCTTGAACCTGGGAGGTGGAGGTTATAGTGAGTTGAGATTGTACCACTGCACTCCAGCCTGGGTGACAGAGCAAGACTTCAACTCAAGAAAAAAAAAAAAATAAGTCAGATATGGATGAGACTCAAAGCATAATTCATCCTAAGGCAAAATGTTCTCTAGCTGTGAAATATGTCATGTACTTCCAAAATACACTGGTAGGGTAGGCATAGGATAGACATTCTCATTCCAAAAGGGTGAAATAGGTAAGAAGGAAGGGGTAACAGATCCCAAGCAAGTGCAAAACTTGAAGGCTGGAGAAAGTCATCTTTGACTTGAGGCTCTAAGTCCACAGGGGTAGGGGTCCTGTCTTCCAGACCCACTGGGGTAGTGGTCCTTCCTCCATGGCAGTTCTGTGTTGTGGTCCCATTTTCTGCAGAGGCTCTGTACCTGGGTTGCGTACCTGTAGCTACCTTGGGCTGGGATCACACACAGGTGGCCCCATCGGTCTGGGTCGTAGGGTAGCCCACCTCTATGGCTCTCCTAGACATTGCCCTACTCGGGGCTTTCTGCAGTGGCCCTGCCCCTGCAGTGGTTCTCTGCCTGGCCCCTAAGGCTCTGTGGGGCATCCTTTGACATCTAGGTGAAGGTAACCATGCCCCCACAGCACGTATACGCTGTGCACTGGCCAAGATGGCACCATGCGTGTGCCACCAGAATTTACCACCTGTGTCCTTTGGGGGTGGGAGGAGGATGGCCACTGGCCTCCACTGCATCTGGGCCCACTGGAGCTGAACCTGGGATGGTGAGGGCCATAGTGAAATGCAGGGAGCAGAGCCTTTAGGTGATACAGAGCCTTGAGTGAGCACTGAGGATCTGTAGGGGCCTGTGGCTCCTCTGAAATCATTCTGTCCCTGACACTCTAGGGAAGGGGCAGCCCCCATAATCTCTGAAATGCCTTTGGGGCCATTTTTTTGTTGTCTTGATGAATAGTACATGTCTGGTCCATGCTAGTCTCTGTAGCAAATGACTGAACACACTTTCTCGTGTTTTACAATATGGATAGGCTGAGAAGTTTCCTAATCTTTAAGTTCTGCTTCCCTTTTGATGAAAAATTCCAGCCTTAAAGTTTGTCTTCTTGCATTTTACTGTAAGCTTAGACATTTCTTCAGCCAGATATCCTATTTCATTGCTCACAAGTTCTGCCTTCCACTAGGATGTGACAAAAGCTAAGTGTCTTTGCCACTTTATAACAAGGGTCATCTCTCCTCCAGTTTTCAATAAGATGTTCCTCATTTTCGTTTAAGACCCATCAGAACAGCCTTTACCATCTGTATTTCTACCAACATTCTGATCATGACCTCTTGGGTAATCTCCAAGAAAATTGAGGCTCTATCTGTAGCACCCCTTTTCTGAGCCCTTACCAGAATCACCTTTAATAGCCTGTTTATGGCAATGTCGATTTTTTTTTCTTGCATTCGTCTCAGAATTCTTCCAGCTTCTACTCATTACCCAATTCCGAAGACTCCTCCACATTTTGGGTATTTGTTATAGCAGTGCCCTACTTCTTGGTACACGTTTTCTGTTGTTAGCCCATTTGGGCTGCTGTAGTAACAAAATACCATAAACTGGGTGGCTTACACACAACAAACATTTATTTCCCACAGTTCTGAAGGCTTGGAGGTCCAAGATAAGGCACTGGCAGACTTGATGTCTGCTGAGGGCCTTTTTATATGAAACCATTGTGTTAGTGTGTTTTTGTGCTGCTGATACAGACATACCTGAGACTGGGCAATTTACAAAAGAGGTTTATTGGACTTACAGTTCCATGTGGCTTGGGAGACTTCATAATCATGGCAGAAGGTGAAAGTCACATCTCACATGGCGGCAGATAATAGAAGAGAATGAGAAGCAAAACGGGTTTCCCTTTATCAAACCATCAGATCTCTTGAGACTTACTCACTGTCACGAGTATGGGAGAAACTGCCCCCATGATGCTATTACCTCCCACCAGGTCCCTTTTACAACACGTGGGAATTATGGGAGTACAATTCAAGATGAAATCTGGGTGGGGACACAGAACCAAACCATATCACCCATCCTGGTTTATAGATAGTTCTTTCTCATTGTCTTCATATGTTGGAAATGGCAAGGGAGCTCTCTGGGATCTCTTATAAGGACACCAATCCCATGCATGAGGGTTCTACTTTCATGAACTAATTACTTCCCAAAAGGCTCCACTTCCTAAACTTATCACCTTAGGGGCTAGGACTTCAATATGTGAATTTTGGGGAGACACACACATGCAGACCATAGCAGAGATCCACATTCCATTGGACGGAATTTAACCTATAACATCCACCAACTGCAGGGGAGTGAGAAATGTAGTTTAGTTATGTGGCCAGAGAGAGAGGACCTGATACTGGTAAACATTTACCCCTCTTGCCAGGGGTTTGCCTTCATTGATATCTAAGGGTCCTCTCAGCCAGGTATTCTAGAATTTCCCCAGGGCTGTGTTGTTTCTCACCCAAGCCTGTGGCCATTGTCCCTCAGCCTAGTTCTGTGTCATCCTTGTCTCCCCAGACTTGCCAGCCTTTTTCAGGACCTGCATTGTCTTTCCCTGAGGTTTGGTAAAAGGAGATGGTCCTGGAGGCTTGCCTTAATGGGGGCCTGGATAGGGTCACCAAGTTGTAGCACATCAGAGCTACAATGAACATAGGAATCCTCTCATTTACTACTGCTTCTTAGCCTTTAATTTTTAATTTTAGAGATTGGGTCTTGCTCTGTCACCCAGGCTGGAGTTCTGTGGCATGATCCTGGCTTACCGTAGCCTCAAGCTCCTGGGTTCAAGTGATACTCAAGTCTCAGCCTCTTGAGTAGCTGGGACAACAGGTGTGTGTCACCATGCCCAGCTAAGTTATTTTTTTTTAAATTATCTATAGGGATGGGGTCTTGTTATGTTGCCCAGGCTGGTCTTAAACTTCTGTCCTCAAGCTATCCTCCTGCCTCCACCTCCCAAAGTGCTAGGTGTACAGGCTGTGAGCCCACACCGGGCCTGTTTTTCAAAAACAATTTTAAAGGGTTATGGGGTCTGTTGACCTAATTTGAGTATTTGACAACTGTGGACTCTAGAAAAATGTACATATACATGATTTCACAAGCCAGCCTGAGTCCCTATCATTGACTTTCTGGAACAATGGCTTTTAATCTTCATTATGCATCACAGTCTCCTGAGGTGCTTATTGAAAATGAACATTCTTGAGTCCCACCCCAGGATTCCAACCCAGGAAGTATGCCCAAGAATCTGCATTGTGGGAAGCCCCTGCAGTGGAGGGTAAAGAAGGACTGTGGACCTCCAGTAGGTGCCTGGCTGCACCCCCAGGTGGGTCTGGGCCAGGCAGAACTGCCAGTCTGCCCAGGGCCTAGCAGAACTGAGCTGGCATGAGCTTTGTCCCATTCTTCCCACTCCCTCCTCTCCGTAGGAGTAGGACTGGCAGAAGCCCAAGCCAAACACTTAAGACATTAGAGGAACAAACAGAGCCTGGGCTGATGGGAGAAGAGGCAGGGGGCCGCGCTTCTGGGGAAGTCAGAGGAAGGTGTCCCACACAGCCACTGTCTGGGGAATGGTTCAGGGCCTTTGTTGGGAGTCAGGGAGAGAGAAAGTCAACACACACAAGCTTTGGTGCTAAAGGCAGGTGTCTGACAAGTAACACAACTGAGAAAGTGACATTATGCCTGCCATGCAGCCCTTTCTC